TATTAGTTAGTGAAAACAAGGATTCTGATGCTCAGAAACGGATTCATTTTGTTTCTATTACTAACGGTTTTTGTAACAAACAATTCGTTTCTACTGTTTGAGTATTAGCAACCAAATAAGAAACGAAACTATTTGTTCCTATTTATTCATTAATAGAAACCAATATAGAAACGAGAATATTTGTTCCTAATTATTTAGTAATAGAAACCAAATTAGAAATGAGATCATCATTTCGATGTCTCATTTCAACTACCAAATTTGTAACGGTTTGGTTTGTTCTTAATATTAGTGCGATTACAATATAATGACATATTCCGTTTGTCATTGTTGCATTAAGTAATTACAAGATCAGTTTTTACTAAATATTAGTTTGCATCAAATGGAGTCATTAATACCACTTACAATAAGCAAGCAAGATTAAAGCTAAATAAAATAAACAACATTATTTTAATTTATCAATACAATAAAAAAAAATTCAATTGATAAAACATCAAAGTACAATTAATACAAACTACTAATTATTTTATATCCTCAAATAAACTGGGAAGTAATATTTTTAACATTTCATGATTATGGCCAGTAGAGCTCGCCGAGTCTTCTCTTGATATTGCGCAGCAGAGATGAACCCGTCATACATGGGCAGCTTATTCAAGTCAAGATACAATAATGATTTCTGAGTCGCTGTGATGAACCCTATCCTCAAATAAACTGGGAAGTAATATTTTTAACATTTCATGATTATGGCCAGTAGAGCTCGCCGAGTCTTCTCTTGATATTGCGCAGCAGAGATGAACCCGTCATACATGGGCAGCTTATTCAAGTAAAGATACAATAATGATTTCTGAGTCGCTGTGATGAACCCGTCATATGTTGGTAGCTTATTCAAGTCCAACGACAATATCGATGTATCCTCCTTAGTGTTACATTCTTGTGTCTGCATATAATAATAAAATTATTCATCATATCATATATTGGTGAAAAGTAAGATAATAATAATAAAAAAAAAACTTAAATTTGCACTTACCGTAATTAAGATGTTTGGAGACTCTGGCAGATAGTTCAAATCCAATCCTATCAAATTGTAATTTCCCATCAAAGTATGCTGCTAGATTTCACTGCAGTGTAATTCTCAAATTGTAATTGCAGGGTGTTCCATAGTGTTCAGTATATAGGATGATTACGTTACGCAATGGTCAGTTAATATGATATGTGAAGTGGTCAGTTAATATACATCTCCAGTTGAACACAAACGTGGGTAACTTAACCTATTTATTAATTACAATTCAATATTTTTTAATTAATTACAACTCCCTATTTCCTAACTTAACCTATTATGAACTCAATATTTATTTATAAATTTATAGCTTTTTTATAAAATAAATTATAAAATTTAGTATACAATATTTCAATTTAATTAGTTATTAAAGCTGCTCTCATCTGAAAATTTTGATTTCTATGAACGTCAAATGTGTCCACACCATCACGCCACAACATTTTCAGCTCATCAATTAACGGCCGTAAATACACATCAAGATTTTTTCTAGGACTTTTTGGTCCAAGAATCACCATGCTCAGAAACATAATATTCTTGTTCATACACATCCACGGTGGCAAATTATAGACAGTGGTAATAACAGGCCAACAAGAGTACTTTGAGTCAGAAGTATTAAAAGGACAAAATCCATCCGTACATAAACCTAACTGAACCCCACGAGGATCAAGGCCAAAAAGTGGGTATGTTCTATCAAAATGCTTCCAAGCTTCACTATGTACAAGATGTGACATTCCACCATGAGTACGACCATTTTCTGCATGCCATATCATATGCTTTGAAGTATGTCTAGACATAAATAGCCTTTGCAAGCGAGGAGTAAGAGGTAAGTACCTAAGTACTTTGTTTGCGACTTTTTTCCCA